TCTGACTGCCTTCGGTGCCGTGGGCCAGCATTGCCGAAGTGGCACCAGGAATGACAAAGTCTAGGCTTTCCAAAAGCAGTCGTGACTCTGGAGTCATCTTATCCACTGAGCCACACGTGTATGCGGCGAGGGTGAGCCTGTCACCCGAAGCCCAAGGCTCTGTTGCATGCTTGTAATGCGGCTGGAAAGTCACCGGTTGTCCGGGTTGAAGCTCAATCAGCTGGCCTACGGCAGTGGTGGCACCTTGAGGATGCAACACAACATCACCTGCAACGACATCACCCTTGTGCAGCTCCAGCCACAACCGTCCGCCACTAGGTGGCATCTTCAGAGGAAGGAGGGTGCTGTCGGACCTGTTGTAGCTGTCGGAGTGGACAGGCGCGCAAAGGTTGTAGTTGAGAGCGATGGATGTGAATGTGGTTCAGGGGCACTTGTCCCTTAAAACACGACACAACAACCTGGAAAGCTCCGGTCGCGCGCTGGTGAGATTCGTTACACCATGCTGGCCACCATGCGCATACAGACCTAGGACATACGATGAGCCCTGGTCGCCAAAGCGTTTGCTCTGCTGGTTCGTGACGTGGCCTGCTTCCTTTGCAATCTGGCACAAAAGAGCTGTGGCCCTCACAAAGTCATATTGCTGCAGTAGCTCAGAGCATTGACGCTCGTGCTTTGCCGCGAGTGCAAGCGGCACATCGCTGTGAGCGGATGGCTCGCAAGTCTGATTTGCTGCAGTGGCACCTGAGGGGGCAGAGGTGGTAGCACCATCGGCGAAGAGGTGGTGCTCACCTGCGGTTGCACTTGACGCTGAGCCATGGAATTCTGAGCACGGCAACAAAAGATGGCCGCTCTGCGCGGACTCAAGGTTGAAGGTCTCAGAACCTGGCGGTAGCACGAGTGTCATTTCACCTGGGCCCAAGAAATGCAGCTGCTTCTTGGCGGTGTCAAGTAATGCTCGGTTGTCTTGCAGCGACTTGAGACCCAAGAGAGCAGGACAACCGCTCTTCGTAACCACAGGGCTTGTGAAGGATCCTGATGCAATACTGCCATCTGATCTGGCCATGGCGATCGGCAGCTGGCAGTCCTCCTGGCAAACCTGTGCGCCACGACCTACGCCACCAACCTGAAGGGGGGCCTTACGCTTCAGCATCTGAGGCTGCTGCGGCATGTGGCCTACTGCCTCAACCAACCTATCTTCGCCTACAAGGTTACCGTAGCTACCCGGATCTATTAGCAGGCCGACTCGGCCGTCCGCCAACCTCACATTGGTGTGATAGGCACTGGTGCCCGAGTGATTCGTTGAATCCTGATGCGATGGCACTGGCCACCATGGAAATGACCCGGCTACTGACGCAGGAGTGTGGAACTCCTCGGGACTTGTGTTGGTTGGCTCGGGTGTTCGATCGGCTGGTCCTGTCACGTTTAGGCTCTCGGCAGTGGCACCGGCCTGTGTTGGCGTGACTGGCGCTTCGACAGAGGCTGCAGTTGTCTCCTGCTCGGGAGTTTCTGCCTGCTCAGTAGGTAGCCGGGGAAAGCGCCATGCACGCACAGTCCTGGCTTCACGCCGGCAGTTTGGGCATTCTACGGCGAGCTCTCCTTCCTGATCTGAGATCACACCCATCTGTTGTGCTAGCTCGCCTAAACACATACAGTGGAAGACATGGCCACACGACAGTCTACAGATGTGGTCTCCAGGCTCATAGTTCTCCAAGCAAACTGTGCAGTTCGAAACATGTCCTGTGAACTGACGCGGCGGTGAAGCCTGAGGTGTAGCCTGTGCCGAAGTCGGGGTCGTGCTGGGTCGTACTGACCCAGATGCATTTGAGCCACTCCGCCCTGCACGTAATGCATGCACTTGGCCAAACACTGACACGACCTGGGGAGTGCCTGAGACGCTGGAGCACGGCGCAGGCGCATTCACTGCACTTGCACTCGTCTGATGCGAAAGCGATGTAGGCGCGTATGCCATGACACCGGCACTTATCGGATGCCCGAGTGCTGCAGGTGCATGTGCTGTAGCACTGCCACTCACATGCTGCGTGAAAACTGTTGGTACGCTGCTCATATCGAGTGGCTGGCGCTCCGTATGCAACCGATGTCCTTGGTAGTCATCTCTGGCGTGCCTCTCCTGCACTTGAGCAATTCCTTGGGTGAACGACCTAAACCATTCAGGAGAGGACTGTGGCACTGAAGGTGCTGCAGAGCTCATGTTCAACGCAGGCGGTGGGTTCCGGGCAATGGAGTTGCCTATCATCTCTGAGAATGATTGCCCTGAACTCACATCGCCCAAGCCGGGTACCTGCCATGAGCTGTGGGGCGTTCCCTGGAGTGCCTGATGAGAAGTGGCATGACCGGCCCTCGCTCCCTGCTGGCTTCCATCATGAAGCCACTGCATCCAAGGATCGGCGTCTGTCTCCCAAGGGTCAGGGGACATGTGGTGCACCGTCGGGGCGCTTGGCTCTGCATTCGGATGCAGTGGTGGCCCAGCATCACTGGGCGCGTAACTTGGCACCTGCCGGTGACTGCCTGAGAGCAGTGACCTTGGTGACACCTGAGTCCACGAGCTATCAGTTTCGTACGCTGCAAAGTGCAAGTTGGTAGGCTCCACCGTAAAGGTGGGCGGGGCACGCTGCGGCGGTGCACTCGAAGAAGAGGGTGCTGCATTCTGGCCTGAGCTATTCCTTGGACAACGGGCTCGAAGGTGATAGCTGGAGCCGCAGGTACTGCATCGGAGGGGTTCTCCATCCCTACCGGTGGGGTTGAGCCTACGTCCGAACCCTTTCCCTGAGCTACGACCACCTTTACCCTTTCCCTTAAAATAGCTAGATTGCTGCAACAACTCCCCTATATTAAGATAGCTGTGACCCTTCTTGCCCTTGCCTTTGCCCTTGCCTTTTCGCCGCAAGACTCTGCGCAAGGCCCTTACGGGCTTGCCGGTGTATCTGCGCCAACGTCGTTTTGCATGCTGATACTCGCCAAACAGGTACTCGTCTGCCTCTGTTGACGTGAGCCCCTGCAGGTCATCTGTACGCATAGGATCGTCGTTGTCAGAGCTCGTGGCTGAGTCAGTGTCTGAGCATGCTTCCGCTTCGGACATGGCTGCGTATGCCCAGTCTGGGTTTCCACCAAGACCAGTACCGAAAGAAGTATCGGCTCCCGTCTCGGCGTGCCACTGCTCGCCCGAGTAAGACGACCCGGTGTCGGCTTCAGCAAGGTATGTCTGGCTTGCAGGGTTCCCTGACCTAAGTCCTGACGCGATGTTGTTCGGGTGCCTCTCCACAATGTGGCCCATCCGCCTCAAGTGGTGTTCCATCTGTGCCAGCTCGGGCTCGTTGCCAGGCAGTCGCAAACCAAAAGGCTGTGTCAAGGTTTGAAATTGTTCCGATGAGACATTGCACGCTCGCAAAAGGATTAAGGCGGCTGTCTGAGTAGACACAGCGCTCGCACCATCTCGCTGAGCAAGTTGTCGTGTAATGTCAAACCGGCTAATCAAGGCGTCGACGGTTTCACCGCCACGGCGGGTAAATGACAAAAGGTCATTCGCCGCCCGAAGCTGGTGTTCTTCATCAAGTGGAGCGAATCTCGACGACAGTCCATGCAGTAAGTAACTTACTGGGTCGAGGTGCTGGCCTGCTATGACTCCGCCGTTGTAGACTTCAGCTGGAGAAAGCGTTCTAGCCAGGTCTCGCGCAGCTCCACTCAACTGCGATATGATTGCCGCACACTGCTGGGGCGGCGCCATGTCTGAGACGATGGTCCACAGCATCAGATCTTGAACCCACGTCCTGAAGGGCAAAGTCGACTCCATCGACGGGTCCCACCGAGGTGGGAGGCGCATTGTTGCTCCAGGCTGCACATTCCCTGGGGGTTGAAACATCATGCAAAAGAACGTGATCATGAAGACGAACAGTACCGCAAGTTGCGCAATGTACCTCTTGCTGGGACGTAGCACAAGCTCGGCAACAGAAACCTTGTTCCGTGAAGACAAAACTCGTGGCGTCGCGTAGTCAGCATACGTCGCGCTCCAAGTGCGGTTGGGACTTAGACTTGTCGTCTCGTTGGCGCTAAGCATCTCAGCTCTCAGCTGATTCTCGGCGTCAACGAGACCGACAAGTTGCCCGCAAAAGAGGGCCATCGCGGCAACTATGGTACCTGGTCTCTGCATCGCCCTGAGTCGTTACTCAGAGCTCCGCTACCAGCTAGAAAATCAACGAGACTACCCTAAGGGGCAGAAAGAACACACGCAATCGGACCTTTTCCACGAAGAAGAGTAAGAGCTTCTGAACGTTCACGCTGCGGCACCACATCATGCCTGGCAAGTGCTGAACGAGTTCCCTAAACCCTAAACCCTAAACCCTAAACCCCTAACCCTAAACCCCAAACCCTAAACCCTCAGGAAAGGCGGCTTCAGGATGCAGACGCGCGAGGAAGCCTACGAAGGCTATGACGGTAGGTCTTCGCAGAGCTTGGAGTTTAGGGTTTAGGGTTTAGGGTTTAGGGGTTTAGGGGTTTAGGGCTTAGGGTTTAGGGTTAGGGGTTTAGGGTTTAGGGTTTAGGGTTTCGGGTCCCAGCTTACAGACAAGACCTTCGTTCTTCCAAGCGTGACCCACATGTTTAAGACATGACGAAAAGCTTTGGACCCTAAAACCCAAACCCTGTCGCTGTCGGCCTCGTGAGTCCTAATGGCCTCACGGAAGTACCTACCATTGTAGTTCTTTTTGGGGGGAACCTTATAAAATCCTTAATATATCATGGGCTAAACCAAAAAAAGAACTACAATGGAGACTACAGGTAGTTACGCCCATGCACCCAACTCAAAGTCACTGGCTTGGGTGAATTTCACTCCACGGTGGTCATAACTTCTCCAGACCCCCTGGTCCCAACACAAAGGTTTAAGGTTTAGGGTTTAAGGTTTAGGGATAAGGGTTTAGGGTTTGTAGAGTTTAGGGTTTAGGGTTTAGGGTTCAGGGTTTAGGGTTCCCTCAGAGAAGCCAAGCTGCGTTTTGCCATGGAAGGGTTGTGCCAAGCCAAATCTCGCAGCTGCCGTCGTGAGAAGCTGTCGCCCTTCGCACACGGCGTAAGGGCCGCAATCAGCGTTATTATAGCTGCTGGGGGTGGGGTGCTATAAGTTTACTGTTACTACCCGGGTTATCCCAATTCCAACACCCTCTACAGTATTCCTCTGCAACAAACCTTCCTGCACGAAATCTACAAGTCCACTCCACACCCAAATTCGGCACTCCGGGCTTTCTAAAGTTGTTTAGGGTTTAGGGTTTCGGCCTTCTCCCTGAACCTCCAAACCCCCAAACTCTGATCCCGAAGCCCTGGCCCTAAACCTCAAGTTAAGCCTAAACTCTACACCTTAAATGCCCCAAACTCTCAACGCTAACCCCAAAACTCCGAACTCGTAACCCTACATCCTAAACATTCCCAGAGCTTTTCTTCCCCGAACTCACAACTCTCAAGCCTCACCCCCCTGTCGGAACCTTAACCGAGCCCTTTGATAAACCCTAAACCCTAAACCCTAAACCCCTAAACCCCTAAACCCTGAACCCCCCAACACAAAAGTCATTTGAACAACAGACCACCGCACTCCAATGCCTCGGGTTGCAACACGACAAACTCGAGGTCAAAGAGCTCTGTTGCCCAAAGCAAAAGCATCAGCGACGCCTAAGGTAGTTTTACCTATATAAAGGGACTAGATTACAAGGTAAGGAGCGGGTTTAAGATGGATTTAGGTTAAGCCTGACATGCTGCAGGTGCCTTTTGTTTCGAGAGATTTTGGCTTGAAAGGACTTCGACGCTTCCACTACGACTACTACTACTACTACTACTACTACTACACGACTACTACTGCCACCACCCCTACTCCTACTCCCACTCCCGAAGATCTGGAGTTTCGATCTCTTTCCGGCTCTTTCAAACCCTGGACCATAGATCCTAACAGAACTACAGGTGCACATTTAGACGGCCGAGGTGCAAAGCCGCGAAGCCGGCACAACCCACATGGCATCGGCAGCTTGAAAGCACGCGAAGCTTGTAAATCTTGAACTCTATCCGCTCCGAAATGGTTTAGGGCTTAGTGGCTCGTGGGATTATTGCGTTTAAGCTGAATTCGAAAATCGGTCATCCCCATACGACCCTACGCCCCTGCAATCCCTAAATCCTGCTGTCATTTGTCACTGGCGCGCGCAAGGACCTTTGAACAGGCTGCGAAGTTCTGGTGTGTTTCTGTTGTCTCTGCATAAATAAAGAAATATGTATTCATGTGCGTATCTGTATGTTATTGTATGTTAATATATGGGACATGTACACTGTCCGTTTCATGTGTGTTTATGTGTATATTGTATATATTTGCGTCTGCGCTTTCGGGCGATGGGCCTAACTAAGAGGATTTGGTGCTTTGGGGGCATTCTGGGCGCCGAGGCCCGGGGTAGTGTTCGTCTTGCACCCAAAAAGGGTCCGAAGGTGTCAGTAGGGTTTAGGGTTTAGGGTTTAGGGTTTAGGGTCCGACCCTAAACCCTAAACCCTAAGTCCGAAGCACAAGCTTGCGAACCTCAGATTTGCAAAATGGGTGCCTGGGCTTTCGATTCTTGCAGCCTTAAAGAGCGGGCTGTTTCTGCAAAAGGGGATGAGGACTTGCCATGAACCCAACCACACGTGTTAGTGCTCTGCTTCGAAAGGCCCCTGAGTTCTATTTATGAAACCCTAAACCCTAAACCCTAAACCCTAAATCCTAAACCCTAAACCCTAAACCCTAAACCCTAAACCCTTGAAGATGGTGCTTGCAATTTTCCGCTGCGCGGTCGTCCACCGAAACAACTCTTCCAGGCACTTGCCGGTGGCAAATCCCACCAAGCGAGAAGTCTGGCGGTCGACCTCCGGAAGGGTTTAGGGTTTAGGGTTTAGGGTTTAGGGTTTAGGGTTTAGGGTTTGTGAGTTCTGTGCGATTCAGGGCGAAGGGCTTGGATTCTAGGATGTGCTGTTATAGGGAAACCGAGGAGGTACCTACTCCAATCGCCTCTTGGATACCAAGAGCTCTGAACATAAGAACAGGCCCCTGCAAATCGGGACTTTGACGAGGGCTTCAAATCTTACCGAACCTCGTCGGAAGTATACTATGACTATTACTCTTACGATTATACTACTACTATGACTAGCATTGTTAATTTTTATCTTACTGTTATTGTTGTTATTACTAGTGTTATTATTATGATGTTTGGTCGTTTAGGGGTTCCCTTGCCGCCGAATCGCGGCAGCGCTCGGAGAAATGAGCGATGAGCTCCTTCCTGCCGCGGAGCTCCGGCGGAATCGTCCTCGGCGTTCTTAGTCCCCCACAACTTCTGAAACTCTAAACCCTAAACCCTAAACCCCAAACCCTAAACCCTAAACCCCAAACCCTAAACCCTAAACCCTAAACCCAAAACTGTCCTTCCTTTCAAAGACCCTAGACCCTGAAGCCTAACTCGCCTGAAACTCTAAACCCTAAACCCCAAGCCCCTAACGCCCCAAAACCCGAGCAGCCGGGTCAAAAATTGAGGCCCATGTTGCTTACAACTAGAGTGGTGTGTCAAGGACATCTTCACCATGAATACAGGGGCCTGAATACTTACGACTCTTAATCCTTAAGGCTCCTTATAGACATGATAGTCTTATATATATATATATAACCCCCCCCAAACCTACTCTAATCTTTAAGGCCCCTACATTGGAGCAAGGATCGCAAACAAGCGCAGAATAGGTCTGAACCACGAAGCCCCCAGCATTGCTAAAGTCTGGGAGGTCCGGTTTTGAGGGGTTTAGGGGTTTAGGGGTTTAGGGTTTTAGGGGTTTAGGGGTTTAGGGGTTTAGGGGTTTAGGCCTCTGTGTGTCACAGAACCGGGCATATCGCCCAGGGTGATAGGTCGGCGAAGAGGTTTAAGGGTTTAATGTAGGGGCCTTGATAATTAGAATTGGGTTTTGGGGGTATATTATACTATACTCATAAGAAGGAACCCCCAAAACTCTATTCTAATTGTTAAGGCCCCTATATTAGGGGTTCGGGAGGTTTCAGGCAGGTTACCAGCCCCAAAACATTAATCCTGCTCTTGTTGCGCTAGTCAAGCTGGAAATCCCAAACCAACACAAGTAATGTAGGGATCTTAATAATTAGAATAGGGTTTGGGGGTATACTATACCTTTAATTATAGTAAGGAACCCCAAAATAGTATTGGTTATTTTTCAGGCTCCTTTTATTTTCCAGGACACTGAGTATCTGGGTCATTGAAGGACCTAGGATACCTCAGCCCCACACCTTGAGCCCGAATTCCAGCTGCCCATCTTCTAGACCATCAACCATCATGGACGTGGGAATCTACTAGGACAGGGCCTTGCAAAAGAAAAGTGGTGTTTGCGCGTTGCTGGGCTGGTGCCATCCGAGGAGCTTGAACAGCTGCAGCCTCGGTGAGGAGGTTTGTCACTCTGGGGCGCTCCCTGAACCACAAGGTTTCCTGTTAGAGTCAAAGTGGAACAGGATTTGGTGGGAGGTTCCACTATACTTGTGTATCGTGGCTCTGAGAGGATATGACTCCTCCGAAGCCTATTCCCCAAACCTAAAGCCATGCACCCAACACCCCGTAGAAAACCCTATAGGGGTAGTTTTCTAAATTAGGGTCCCTTTTTAGGTCCTCAATATAGTACGGCACCCTTATAAAAAGGACCCCCAAAGGGACCCTAATTTAGAGAACTACCCGTAGAGTTCCAAGGCCCTTCAGGCTTTGCAGGGCTCGGAGGTTGCTATGGGTTTGGAGTTTGGGGTTTAGGGTTTGGAGTTTAAGGGTTTAGGGTTTAGGGTTTAGGGTCCATGGCCGACTTTCCCCAAGAACGCCACGGAAAACATCCCGAAGGTGGGATGGACTTTGTCGCAATGCAGTGTGCAAGCCTCAAGGAACAGCCGCCCAACAACGGCCTTGACAAGAGATGTGGAAGCCCTTGCTCATGCGGAAGCCCTGTAACATCCAGACTAAGCAGTGCATCTCAAGAGGTCGCCACAACAGCAGCATCAGCAGGAGGTTGACACCGAAGCAACTGCTGTACTTGGAGGATCATGGGACTTAGTAAGTAAGGTTATAAGTCCATTAATTGGGGTTATAAGTATAGTTACCCTAATTATAACCCTACTTACTAAGTCCCATGATCCTCCTAAACCCTAAACCCTAAACCCTAAACCCTAAACCCTAAACCCTAAACCCTAAACCCTAAACCCTAAACCCTAAACCCTACATACTAAGTCCCATGATCCTTTAAGTAAGTAGGGTTCAGGTTGT